TCTTCCCTACACGCGCGCCTGGATAAGCCCTTGCAAGACTCCCATTTACGCTTACCTGGATACGCCCTTGTCAAGACTTCCGACAAGCCGCTGCAGCGTCATTTCGCCCGTTCATTGGTAATTAACCAGCCGACGCTCAGTCGGCACCTCATTCCCGACGTCTTTTCCCGTCAATGGACCCGCTCTGCGCACCTGAAATGGACTCACCCTCCACCACAGTGACCTCACCCTGCCGCGGTTTGGCGGAGCTGACAACCCAGAGCCGGTGGGTGTGGTATTTGCTCCTTACAGAAGCCGGCAGGGCATGGCGTGTAGGCGGCGTGGCTCGGTTTTCGGATAGCTCGTGAAGGACGTCTCGTACAGGGCGCTCCGCGTCTCGATCTCAAGCGCTGGGTGCAACCAAGGCGCGAAACCCCGCCTCGAAACCCCGCCTCGGCTCGAGCGTGGTCCCCGGAGGGCGCTCGATCAGCCGTGCTACGCATGCTACGTGCTACGTGCTACGTGCTACGCCGCCCTGGCTGGTGGCTCAGGTTACATGGCTTAGCTCCCGACCGTCAGCTGAGCTCAAACATGCGATGCTACGCTCAGATCGCAAGCGCAGCAATCTTGCACGCTGATTGTAGGACGAATTTGAAAAGTGACGGCGGTGCGTGACGAACCCGCAACCTTTGGGTCGTGCGCCAGGTGATGACAGCAAAGCTACGTTGGCCGCGCACTCATCTCATGGTATACAGCGTCTATAAAATCCTCGTAATACAAATCGTAAATTATTCGTAGATGGATAATAAATAACAATATCGCAAACATAATATCGTATAGCTATTGTGATGATATAGTAAAATAATATTGAATAACATCGTAACTAATGTATGCAATGTGATAACCATGGCAGAGTGGAAGCCGCTATTGTTTATGGAGCAGCTCGACAAATGGTACGATCAATCGCCGATCTCATTTGATGACGTCAGAAGCCAACACAATCCGGGACGGAGATTCTTGTCTGTGGGTTTCTTAGCCGGACGTTTTACAAGGATAATCTGGCGTTTAGCCGATCCATTAACCTGGATAGGCCACATCGACAATGCTGTCAGATGATGACGTCAGATGATGACGTCAGAACCTCAGGCACTCCGTGACGGAGATGGTTACCTGTTGGCCTCTTTGCCGTATATTTTACAAGGATAATCTAGCGTTCGGCCGATCCACAAAACTGACTAAGCCACGTGGACCATGCCGCCAGTGGACCATCACACTGGATCCCTGGATGACGTCACTGAAATGTATTGAATCAACGAAGCGATCATTACATGCTTCACTGGATCACGTAACTGATAACCTGTTTGCTTAAACCACAACCTCCCAAAAATGAACGCATACCAGACGTTTACGAGCAGCCCCGGACACCACGGTCCGCGTAACACAATGCTCACGTCAGTCGCAGCCGAAGCGAGACCGTTACGCTGTGCTCGCCTGCAGAGTAATGACATAATTAGCGCTGGCTTAGAGGCGTGTCTGCAGCATCCCGGTCCAGGCTTCAGGTAGGATTACCAGCGCACGTCGCACTCCGGCTGCTGAAACAGTGGGGATTACGTCCGCGACTCGGGATTAAAGCGCGTGTTTCAAAATCGGACGGAAGGCAGGTGCGACGGAGGGGGGACCTCCTTCGTGGGGAAGCTGTCAGAACAAGCCGGACTCGTGCGTTGTGGAGGGCACTTTCTTGAGACGTGTAGGGCTGGACGCTGTGACAGAATCAGCGCTTTGGCGCATCGTTAGTCCTTGCTCAAGGCGAAGCAAGTCGTTGCCATGCCGCGTACATGTCCAGAGACCAGACCAGTCACGGACAAATGGTCAATATATGTTGGTAATCCGTTCGGAGCCGTTGCATGTCGCGCCCGAAAGCGTGGCAGAGCGAATGGTAGGCTGAAAACGACACAGTTGGCTTCAGGATGGCGACGAAGCCAATTTTAGGAGAAGCGCGGGATGCACGTGGAGTTGCGTGGAGCTATGAAGGGCAATTACAGAAACCCTATGGTGAGCGGCGCTTTTGACCGCACCAGAGTGACCGCCAAGGTGTGAACGTAGGCCCTCGTGCCGTAAACATTTGTATGCATCTCTTTTGCTTCCTTCAGATAGCGATTTCAGATTTGCATATTCTCATATCTTTCATAGAGCACGCACTTAGTTATGGAGTTTCACGGACTCGTCAACTGCGTTGGCATTTGCGCCGATGTCTTGTTTTAAGAGCCTATGTCAACAGAGCTATAGTCGAAACCATGTCAGCAGATTGTCACCAATGTCTAGGTCACTCAGAAAGTTCGTCAGCTGCGCACCGGAAACGTACGGCGTAGAAAAACAAATCGCATGCAGGCCATGTGGCCCACCTGCCAATTGTCTCGGTAGGCGAATATAAAAGTCTGAAATCAATAGCTCCGAAAAAGACCAAACCTGCTCGCACATGGAGCCACGGAGGATCATCCAACAGACAGGCCTGGAGAATGTGATTCAGCTTAAGACAACGGTTTCCCTCAATCTCGTAGTTCCGACACTCAGCTAGTACGTGAGCCACGGATAATGGTGCTCTACGTCTGCGGCTAGGTGATCGAGATTCCCCGGAGAGCAGGGTAAACTGCGTCTTGAAGTGTGGCCAATACGCAACCGTTACAGTTTTACTCCGTTAGTTCTTTTTTAAAAACTATGATTATTCCATTCGTCGCTCTGCGCCAAGCAAAATAACCGCCGCAGTTTAAGCGGCCATGAACCCAAGCACCTCTCATCACGGCCATATAGACGTCTCAATCCAATTACCTTCGGGCTCTGACAGAGGGCGGCGGGCAGTGGTTCAAGTTCAAGGCCGATCCCACTGATCCGCTCCGACACCGGACCTGGGGCGGTGGCGCGCGCGGCATGCGCCCCCGGCTGTTGCGCGCCAGCAGTCGCTGATGATACAAATCACCGAACTTGTCGGTGACAGCCGTCAGTGCCGAAGTTGCGTTTGCTAATTCAGGGGCCGAACTGGATTTTAGTCGCTGGTGCATGGAGTAAAATGATACCGCTAGGCAGGTGGACAGTGGTGGGGAGGGGACCAAAACTTTGTGATGTTCCATTACGTTGCTGGATAATTGGACAGTGAACAAGTCGTACAAAGAGGTTATTTTGTGGTAATATTGTATATTGGTGGGGCAGTAATGAATGCCACTCATGAACAAGGTACAAATCATGCCTTTTATTTACAGCGACACACAAAGAACTGTGTTGTGATCAAAATGCACTATTTTAGACGTATGAGGTATGTGGGATCATGTTTTTCCGGCCTCTCAGGCATGCACGCTTGCCCACTGCATTAGGATACCACATTGACATACAGCAGTAGGGTAACCGATGCATGCATGTCCAATTTTTGCGACGCACAATGCTCAAAGGCCAGAACAGGAGCTGGACCGGGTGGGAGGACATCGCCTGACACGGGTCGGGTAAGTCCACAACGCGACCAAGTAGCTTGAGGCGGGCGTGCCTGCAGAAATGTGTGCAACGTGTTGCTAGGTTGCGCTGGGGACGTCTATGTTTGCATCTTGAAAACTCTGCACCCTGATGAAGATCAGCGCGCGGGGCGATCCTGCGCCCCGCTGAGGGGGAGGGGGCACTGCCAGAACTCCACGTGCACTCCCCTCCCTCTCGTAGGACACGTGCACCCGCTCCGTCGGGGTGAAAGTCGTCCTGTGTAAGAACGCAGCTCACGAGCTGTTGCAGTACGCGGCGGCGGCTCAAAGCGGCGCCGGTTCAACACCGAGAGACGACCTCAGTTGACAGGGCCGGTCGGCGGGGTCGGGCCGGCGCAGGCTACCTGCGCTAGCAGCCCCTGCACGACACACACACGCAGCATAACCGGACCTCGGCCGTACATGAGGACGCTTGCGAAACTGCCATGCAAATGACATGCGAGGGGTGTGCAACCGCAGCCGTCGCATCGCGGCAGCAAACGCAATGTTGAGCTGTCCTGCCGGCTAAACATGCTGTCCGCAGGGTGTGGCAGAGAAAGTTTAGGCTGGGTTAGAGCGGTCGTGCCCTGGGATACCAGACTGGTTATGCAGGTGCTGTAGGGATGCGAGGATGCTGCAGAAACGGCACTCGTAGTGGATAATCTTCATTTGCATATTAAGTGATGATTGAGTTATCGCTGCTGATCGATGAAACGGCCGCGTTGCCGTACAACGACGGCTGTGTTGTCATCTAGCAGCCTTCAAGGTGATGTCAGTAGATATGCGACAACGCTTGACATCGACAATGTCACAAGCGCTTTTCGTCCCAATCAGATCAGTGTCATTTGTGAAAGAAATGCTATGAAGTAAGAGCAAGGAAGAAACTAATTGAGGCAGAAGCATTTCCACGAATTGTATGAAAAACCCTGGTGTGCATCACCATCATAATCAGATTACCTAGAGTTTGTATGGAGAGCTTGAAACGGCCTTCAGACGTCCTCGGCCGCTTATCTTACGCAGTGTATCATGCATGTAATTTGCTTTGTAGGCGTTTAAGGCTTACCAAGCAAATTTGGCTCATCATCTTCCTCTCTTGCTGCTTCTCTTTTGAGCCATTTTATCAGAAAAATCTTAACAAAAGGAATAGTTATAGTACGCAAGCAGCGTACAAAACTTCTACGACACCACTCCTATAATCCAAAAGGCCAAATAACAATTAATCTGCACCGAAGGCACTAGTGCCATCCTCACACATGACAAATTTGAAGGAGAAAACAACAAAAACGCGTGTTTAACCTCAGTGCATCACTTTTATAAAACAAAGAGGGGCTGTCCGCAGCGCCTAATAACCTAGTTCAAAGCTTCGGCGCTCCGCCATACCACTACGTCATCGAATTGAAATTCAGGCGTTGACAGATGTCAACTGTTGGTTGCTTAAACGCCGGTAGCAAAGTGAGAAAGCCTCTCACACATCTCACTGCGGTCCACAACTGGAATATTTCATCCCTCAACTCCTTGTTCCAGGCGCTCACAGTGTTGGCAGTAGTGGCGAGCACGCAGGCCTTCTTCGGCAGCCTCTTCGGCTTCGGCAAGAGGGGCCACGGCGGCTACGGCGGCGGCTACGGCTACGGCGGGGGCGGCCATGGCTACGGCGGAGGCGGTCATGGCTACGGCGGCGGCAGCCACAGCTACGGCGGAGGCGGGGGTCACCACAAGGGCGGGGGTCACCACAAGGGCGGGGGTCACCACAAGGGCGGAGGTCACCACAAGGGTGGAGGTCATGGCAGTGGTTACATCCAAGTGAGGCCGTCGCATGGTTACGGTCCGCCCCGCCCCAGCTACGGCCCGCCCAAGGCCAGCTACGGCCCGCCCAAGGCCAGCTATGGCCCGCCTAAGCCCAGCTACGGTCCGCCCAGGCCCAGCTACGGCCCGCCTAAGCCCAGCTATGGTCCGCCCCGCCCCAGCTACGGCCCGCCCAAGCCCAGCTATGGCCCGCCTAAGCCCAGCTACGGTCCGCCCAGACCCAGCTACGGCCCACCAGCGCCCAGCTACGGCCCGCCGGTGACTCCCTCCAGCGGCTACGGAGCCCCTCACGGACACGGAGGTGAGAAAGGCCGGCCCCTGGCTGAGTAGCGATGGCTGATTAAACAGCGCTGGTCCGGGCTCAGATAGTCCGTCCACGTTTGGAAACCACAGGGATCGGCTCGGACTTCCTGGTGCAGTTTGAGGACCACGGCGTCGCGTTGTGGGGTCTGACCTCTGTCGTAAAGTCGGGTGAGACCGACCCGGGCCGCTCCAGTGCTGCTCGAGGATGGCTGGCGCTCTTCCGTGGCTGCATTTCAATGTTTAAAAACGGCCGTAAATTGCTCTCCCGACGTCGCGTCTGAATAATTCTGAGGTAAAATCAGCCGCTGGTCGTCACCATGGACAGCGCGCATAGTCGTTCAATGCGCGCTGCCCATGGTGAGGACCCACAAGCCAACGGAACGCAGTGACACAGCCTTTGCCGATTTCACAGGCGGTGGACATGACGGTGGACACACCGGGGGCGGATACAGCGGAGGTGGACACAGTGGAGGAGGACACGTTGAAAGTGGACACACCGGGGGCGGATACAGCGGAGGTGGACACAGTGGAGGAGGACACGTGGAAAGTGGACACACCGGGGGCGGATACAGCGGAGGTGGACACAGTGGAAGTGGACACAGGTGGAAGTGGACACGGTGGTGGTCATCAGCGGTGCTTACGAGGCTCCGCATCCGCAGATCATCACAGGGTAATACTCATCAACAGCACTCGCACATATAAGACATAGGGTCATATTATATATATATATATATATATATATATATATATATATATATATATAATACATGTAATCTACAAGGCCATCCGTGCCGGAGGCTATGTCCCGGTATTGTTGGCCAACATTGTCTTTGGCTACCTAGCCAGGAAAATGCATGCATAATCTTCCGAAAGATGATGTACTCACAAGGAAAAATGATACCGGCCGATTACATCGTGACAGCGATATGTCCTCTCCCACTGCGCAGGTGTGGTCTCCAGCTCCTTGCGACATTCGAATGCATGGTGTTTTTATTGAAGATACAGTTATTTGAATGTGTGATGCATGCCACCAGTTGATAGAGGACAAGAAGAGAGTCAGCTGCTTGGATGGTGTTAGGTCATCTTTTATCGCACCGCAGCACCTTCGCACCACCTGAACCGCGCCGGGCTGCCTCCACTGGCCTTAGCTCCCAGCATCACTTCGTCCCGATGGCGGTCCCCTCTCTCCAGCGTACATCTTCGGCCGTTCACACCCTCTCCTCGTGCCGCAGGGGTCGGCGTCGCGGGCACCCCGGGCTCCGGCTACTCGGCTCCGGCTCCCGGGCCTTCGTACGAGGCTCCGGTGCCTGTCTCGATTCACGAGATCCAGGCTCCCGACCTCAGGCCAAAGCTACGCCCCTAGCGGCCGAGTGGTGAGCTACTGGTTCCAGACAGCGCCGGTGGCGGCGCTGGGGGCGGGGGCTTCAACGTGCGCCGAATACGTTAGATGCGTGATTCATCGTGGGGTGATGTTTTGTTGCTATTCTACGCTGCCAAAGTAAACATCCCTAGCTTTGAAGGCATTAGCAGCTACTTCAAAATGCAGCTGTAAAACTCGCAGTTTTGCACGGCCGCCAGACCGTGACGCATACACTGTTGGTTTGAACTTTGAACATCTGGTACATGCAATTGTAACAAAGTCTTGGACCCTCAGGCATATTGCACGCATACGTTGCCGTCGAAGCCCGATATTTGACTGCAGCGCTCTTCACCCTTTACAGCCACAACCTGTGACCCAGTCACTGGGCCCCGTGATCGAGGTTGGGCGTGGACCAATCCTACAGTGTTCCGGTCCAGACCGTGGACCAATCCTACAGTGGTCCAGTCCCAGACCGTGGACCAATCCTACAGTGGTCCAGTCCAGACCGTGGACCAATCCCTCAGTGGTCCGGTCGAGACCGTGGACCAATCCTACAGTGGTCCAGTCCAGACCGTGGACCAATCCTACAGTGGTCCAGTCCAGACCGTGGATCAATCCTACAGTGGCCCGGTTCAGACCGTGGACCAGTCCTACAGTGGTCCGGTCCAAACCATCGATTCAGTCCCTACAGCGGCCCCGACCAAGTCGTCGGCACGGGAGGCTCCATCGACGGCGGATCGACGGTGATCGGCGTGTCGACTAACGTCATCGACGGCGGATCGTCGATCATCGACGGCGGGAACGTCGATCATCGACGGCGGAACGTCGATCATCGACGGCGGATCGTCGGTTGTTGATGGAGGATCGTCGATTGTCGACCAGGGCTCGATTTCCGGTGGCCAGATCTACTCGGCCTCCCCAGCAGCAGCAGGTGTGTGCAGTGAAGAAGATTGGTTTTTGGGATATACCCCCCCCCCCCCTCTTGGAGGTGGCAGAGACTTCTGAGCCCGAGGGCCTCGGTGCTTTTTGCAATTTAAGACCCTCAGCGGGTCCTCTAACACATTTTTAAACGGATGTTTTCAAGACCCCTTAAGGGGACCACGAGCCTTAGCAAGTTCTCAGAATAGAAGACAGTTTTATAGCGTTGAAGTGGGTCTATGCTGCTGATCCTGAGATATTGGCCGCGCCTGACTCCTAATGCCCCGACCCCCTGACCCCTTGACCCCCTTGACCCCCTTGACCCCCTCCGGCGCGAAATCCTGGCCGCGCGTCTAGGTGTGTGCCAACCTGCCGGCATCCAGGGGCAAAACGTGACGGCGACTGGTGCAGCACGCCGTCTGTTTTTTATGCACACGTACACCGATTCCGCTCTTCTCTGACTTCAATCATCGTCAGTTGACATAACCCTTTGTGGCCTGCAGCTGGTGACGGCCTAGCGTTTCGCTTGGCCTGCCATCTTAGGTGGCAGCGGTGCGAACCTCAACAGCGAGTACGGTCCCCGTCCGACCTCGTCGACTCATTCAGGTGAGAGGGAGAGAGAGAGAGAGAGAGAGAGAGGAGAGAGAGAGAGAGAGAGAGAGAGAGAGAGAGAGAGAGAGAACTTTCACTCTATGACACTCCTATGTCCAGCTGTTGACCTTCACAAGGGCCTAGTCCTGCCTGCTGTAAATCCAGTCCCACGTCGTTCCAATCGTACCTGCCGTTAATAAAACACCGCTATTTGTATGGGCTATGTGACTTTGGTGCAGCACGGGCTACCTATCCACCGTTGTGATAAACCTACAATTATTTGTCAAGTTCTTGGCGTCCAGAACATTACATTTGGGCCATATTACCACGCCCGAACTCCAGTCAACGCCCGTTATGTCCCCGCATTGCAGGCATGACGCTGAATTCACTTGTTTTCCCTTACATAAACTCGTTTGGTTATTTGTCAGATACTTTTGTCAGTGCACGGTTTAAAAATTTGCCGAATAACTCCACAAAGCATGGGAGCAATAATATCTTGCATGCTATGCTCTGCTGTGTAATGACATCATGCAGTCATTGGACACACCACGAGCACTGTCAAGACGGTCCTGGTAATTTGCTGGCCTCGTCTCCGCGCCAGCTGCCGGTGAATGATGCATACGACCCCGTTGTTCGTGCGGAGTAGTAACCTGCCCCAGGCGGGACCGGATGGGGCGCCTCTCATCGGTGACATCGGCGTGGGCGGTAACTTCCAGTAGACGGTCCGGACGGACTCCGCGCACAGGGCAGAGGTCAGTAGAGGTCAGGAGCAGGTCGGCATGGAAGAAGTGGGGGAGGGAGAGGGGGGGGAGTGTTAGATTGGCAGAGCACAGGCACTTTCTGGTTCCACACCAGCGTTTGCTGAGGTGGAAAATGTATTTTTAGCATTGCAATGTTCCGCTTACTTTAATAAAAAAAAAATAAAAATGGAAAACTTATTGGTGATAGCCTCGGTCCCTTTAAGGGCAAGTAGATGTTTATTTACAAACGAAATGAAACAAAAATAGCCATGAATGCGTTCTGAAGAGCAATCGCTGGCTCTGAGGGTTGCTGCTGATGTCACCCTTGACTTTAAATGCTTTGCTACGTGTGGGCGCATTTCACTGATTTTTTCAAATGCACTAATTTCAGGTGCGAGCTGGTCGCTTAAGGTTGGAGTCTCCGTCCCTGCGCGCCTGGCTTCTGCAGCTGCTGTACAGGCACAATCTCAGCTGCTGTATAGGCACCTCAGCTGCTGTACCGGTACAAACCTCAGCTGCTGAACAGGCACCTAAGCTGCTGTGCCGATACAACCTCAGCTGCTGTACAGTCTCAGCGCATTTGCAGCATTGTAGCTGTAAGACAGTCTCGAAGTTCGCACCCCCAGCCATTGTACCTCAGCCCTTGTGTACAGCCACGTGACATGTACGGCAGCCATTGTACGCTGCATTGTGCCGCATCACGTCCCGTGCTGACTCGGCTGGCACACAGCACACACAGCGCTGTGTGCGCTGTTAACAGCGCTCTGTTTCAGAATGTGTGCAGGAGTGCCATGGGGTTCGGCTTTGGTTTGTTGCCACGTTGCGCGGGGCTGTAACGTCGTTGTAACGCGCAGGCCCAACCCCATGCGCTACAGTAAGGTTACAACAATGTCGTTTTCATTCCGCTTCATTCGCGGCTGAAATTACTCTATTTTCAGGCAGGATTCCCACATTGTTTCTCTTAGCGTGTTTCGTTCCATACCTTGACTTTGACGTTGGCCTGACTTCGGGCACGTCTGACGCAATCAAAATGCCAATCCGCCACTGTCTTCACTTGAGTACTGTTTATATCAATACTGCGCTGTCGCGATCTCGCGCAATGGTTTGCTGTTGTTTCTCTGGGCCACGCCGAGGTGCTTCTTGCATCACGGCGCGTGCTTGGTCGACTCCAGCGAATCCCGAGCTGACAGTCTAAGCATAAACACTGTACGCTCGTGTGTACTGGGCAGAGATAGCACTGCGTGTGTGGTGGGCGTGGCGCACGGTGTGTGGTGCGTTGGTGAGCTTTTGTGTTCTGTCTCACGCTGTGGTCAAAACGATGTTGTTTTGGGGACCTCCGGCAGCCATAGCGCTGCGATGTTGGAACCCCGTGCGAGCTTCTTATGAAGGCCAGATCGCAAGAAACCCGACAAATTGTGGATGTTGGAACAGTGTAGTACATACTCAATAGAAATTCAATGGCGCTGTTTGGGATTGTCATATTATTCTTATCTTCAAACGGGTACATCCAGAGCTTCAGCGGTATTCAAACTCAGTGCGTCTAACTGTACTCTAACGTGAAACAACCACTGAGTCTGCGCGCGCCGCATCAGTGACATTAAGTATGAGCCAGCGTTTTCCCTTTCCGTGCACAACACCAGGACAGAAAGTGAGCGCGTGGGACACGAGGAGGTTCTCGAAAGCGGAATCGTTCATCTGTGAAAAGTTGAGCGAAACGATAGACAATGTCGCATGAGGGAGGAATGTGTATTATCATGCTCTTGGAGGACTCTTCCCCGCCACAACTTTGTGAAGGATGTAGATCAAATTCGGCGACAAACCCGTCTTGATTTTTTTGGGAAACGCTAAGTCTTTTTTGCAGCTCAGACCACCATATTCGTTTGGTGGAACAGCAGCTCGGCTCCGGCATGTGGGAGCCGTCAGCCGGAGGCGGCCTTATTCATGCTCTCGCTGGGAGCATGAGCATCTGGTGACCGCTGATTATGCAGGGAACAGCAGGTGCAGATATAGGAACGGCGCCCGGGAAAGCGCGCGGGCTGCGGAGACACCCTGCTGGTTGTTGTTGAAGCTCGCAGGCCGTTTCATCATCGGGAATGTTTAGTTCTCGTCATTGAACTGCGAGTTTAGCTTGCGAGTTGGGACAATGTTAAGTCGCACGCCCCGTGCATGCTAGTCGATAAAAATGCTGAATAGTAAAAGTTATTGATAGCATAGTTAGTTACTTAGTCATTTTTATATATTACACTTGATAATGCATTAGATAGCATTTCATATTATGATGTATTGGTGGTAGTGTTTTTGATAATATCTTATTATGACCTTGATGGTAATTTTTTTTGAATAGTTGGTGTGTAGCAGAGATAAAAATGAGCATCACTTACTTCGGCGACCTTTACGGCACACCGTGAACTGGGCCAGAAATGCTGGTAGATATTTTGTCAGTGAATTTAATAACCAAACCGGATTGAGTAATTCTTCGAACTAACGCACTCGTCTGGTGTGGTATGCATACACGCTTCGACTAGTTAACTCTCCGAACGGCGTCAGGTGTTAATCATATCGATAATCCGAACGATTATTTCACCCATAATGCTAATGTATTGTCTCAACATTTCTCTAAATCTTAACTAAACCTTGTTCACTTGAATGATGTGTTGTAAACAGCTAAAGTTGGCTTCTCATTCAGGCAAGTTACTGTACCCATCACAATTTCTTTGACTGATATACGTAGAAACATGTGGTGTGTCCCACGCC